CCCGTCCAGCAGTCCGCGTGTCCCGGCCCGCGCTCCCCGCGGCGGGACCTCGTCCCCGCCCTGCCCGTCCCTCTCCACCCTCCCGGGCCAGACCCAGCCTCTCTTCCTCCTCCAGACTGTCCTCCATCAGCCCTGTGTCCCTCCCTCTCCCGGCCGGCGCCACCTGCCAGGATGCCAGGCCAGACTCGCCGGAGTCTAAACGGTCCACGGGAGGCCTTCGCCCCCACCAGCGTCAGCCTCCCGGGAACGCGCGGACTGCGCTGGCCCCGCGCCGGGACGCTCCAACTCCCAGCAACCGTGACTTGTCCCTGCCGACTCCCAGCAACCGTGACTTGTCACCACCCGGGACGAGGGGGCGCTGGCCCCGCGCCGGGACGCTGCCGACTCCCAGCAATCGTGACTTGTCACCACCCGGGACAGGGGGCGCTGGCTCCTGGTGCCCCGCCCCGCCAGGATCGGCCGGCTCCCGGGCTGATGAGGCCACCAAGTAACAAAGAGAGCACAAGCCACGGAAATATGGCAGTTTGTTTGTAAAACTTTAATCACGCCAACAAGTCGCCTTCAAGATGGTTTGCTTCAAATAAACACAGAATGCACCGCCACAACTTTTAATAATGATGTAGTAGAGCTTTGTTCATTTAAAACGTGCCCCCCGGAGGAGGGGGTGGTGTACACAACCACAACGAGTGAGATGTGCAACGTTTGGGGGATGGGCACGCTTGAAGCTCTGACTCGAGGGGGGAGGGGGACTCGGGCAATATACGTAACATAACACTTGTACCCCATAATACGCTAACGTAATAATAATAATAATACAAAATAAAACAAAAAACCATATTTATGCATAAAATTTTCTAAGCCACACACACACACAAAATAAAATGTGACCCCAAATCGTGCTGAGACTATTTTCAGGAGCTTACAGCAGACACGGAGCGCGTCACCACCGCGCTCAGGCGCGACCCGAGTGACAGGGGCGCGCCCACCGCGCACGGGACCTCGGGCCTCCACACCAGGCACGGGCCGTCGCGCGCCGTTCTGGTCCCGGGCGCATAACCGCGGTCACAAACTCGGTGCTCCAACCACAGAAATGTACCGTCTCGCAGCTCCGGAGGACAGAGGTCCAGGCCGAGGTGCCGGCAGGGTTGGTCCCTTCTGGAAGCTCCGGGCACTGAATCTGCTCCGTGCCCGTCCCGCCCCCGGGGCCGCTGGCAGCTCGGCACCTCTCGGCGCATGCCCTTTGCGTTCGCGGGGCCTCCTGCCCGCGGGCCGGGCCCTGGGGACACCCGTCGTCGCGGGGCCTCCTGCCCGCGGGCCGGCCGTGGGGACACCCCTCGTCGGGGGGCCTCCTGCCCGCGGGCCGGGCCGTGGGGACACCCCTCGTCGCGGGGCCTCCTGCCCGCGGGCCGGCCGTGGACACCCTCTCGCTGCCTCCTCCCGCGGGCTGGCCGGGGACACCGTCGCGCGGGCCTCCTGCCCGCGGGCCGAACACACCGGGACACACCTCTCGCGGGGCCTCTCCCGCGCCGGGCCGTGGGGACACCTCCTGCGTGGCTCGCTGCCCGCGGGCTGGCCGTGGACACCCTCCTTGCGTGGCCTCCCTGCCGCGCTGCCGTGGGGACACCCGTCGTCGCGGGGCCGCCTGCCCGCGGCCGCCGTGGGACACCTCGCGCGGGGCTCCTGCCCGCGGCCGCCGTTGGACACACCTCGTCCGCGGGCCTTCGGCCAGCGGGCAGCCGTGGACACCTTCGTCGGGCTCCTGCCCGCAGGCCGGCGTGACACCCTCGTCGCGGGCCGCGGCCCACGCAGCGGTGGCACGCGCCCGCACAGGAACCACACCCCGGCATGACGTTACCAAACAAGCGCTTCTGCGTACGGGGTCAGGGTTTCAACATGTGGATTTGGGGAAGACACATCAAACCATGAACTCTAAACTACCCGACGCAGCATCCGCGACTTGGAACTAAGGCGCAATTTCTCGGTCAAAGGCCCGCGGGGAGGGAGACGTGCGTGTTTCCGCGCGACACAGAGAGCGCAGCCCTGGTGGGCAGGTGTCTTGAAGCAGCGGTTGCGCCGCGACCGGCGGCGATCACACACACCCGTCCAGGGGACGCGGCGCCTGCGCCTGGCAGACCAGCAGTTCTGGACACCCGCGCCTTCCAGAAGCATCTAAGGACGGGCGGGGGGCGCCGCCCGCTCCCGCCTGCACGCACGCACACAGTCCGCAGAGAAGCACCTACAGCCCACGGCAGCGTCGGGAATAAGAGCGCCGTGTCCAACCGCCGAACGTGCCTGCCACCCGGAGGCGCGGCCGCCCGGAACGCGGTGCCCGGCGGCCGCCAGGGGGCGCCCCAGCGCTCCCGCCCGAGAACGACCCGCGGGGCTCGCTCGCGCCCACACGGCGGCGCCCGGCGCAGACGCCCCGCAGCGGGCGCCCGATGCAACGCCCTGCAGTGGGCGCCGGGTGTAAATGCCCCGCAGCTGGGAGCGCCGGGTGCAAACGCCCCTGCAGCTGGGGCGCCGGGTGTAAATGCCCCGCAGCGGAGCGCCCGGGTGCAAACGCCCCTGCAGTTGGCGCCGTAAATGCCCCACGAGTCGCCCGGACATAACCTGCACTGGGGCGCCGGTGAAATGCCCCGCAGCGAGCCCCGAGTGAAACGCCCCTGCAGTTGGGGCGCCGGGTGTAAATGCCGCAGCGGAGCGCCCGGGTGCAAACGCCCCTGCAGCTGGGGCGCCGGGTGTAAATGCCCCGCAGCGGAGTGCCCGGTGCAAACGCCCCGAAGCGGGCGCCTGCGCGGGTGGCTTCCCCTGTGCACCTGGTGTGCGCGCTCCTGTTTGCTTTTATTTCCACAGCAAAAACCAGGGCCCAGCTCGCTCGTCCTTGGGTTTATTTCACGTGGAAGGTCCTGGAAGTGGAGGCGTGAACTGCACGGCCAGTGCGGCCCAGGCTGTGGCTAACGATGCCAGAGGGGACTAAGTCAGCATCCCTCCGTGTGCAAGTGACAAAAACCGCTCAGCAGACACCCCAACGAAACACTCTTAACCCGCAATTGAAGAGCCCTAAAACCGAATTTATAAGCCTAGCCTGCTAGCAAACCACCTCAAACAAAGGAAGGTGGGGTGGGGGGTGGTTTTGGTCCCTGTTAAGGGCTTGGCTTCTCTTCCCTGCTCCCTGCCCGCCCACTGTGCCCTGTCGTCTCGGGTGGATTCTACAGATTGTGTCATCGTGACGGGCTGCACTATGTCGTCCCAACGTGCTGCCCGGAGCCTGCACCTGACAAGCGCTGCGGAGCAACGGCACACCACCCGCCACCAAATGCCACCTAACTACCGCCACAACCCGGCCACAACCCCCACCAAATCCCCCACCCGGCAGACCAACCAGCCACAAACCCAGGCCAACCTGCACCACCGCCACCAAGCACCAACCGGCACCAACCCAACCACAACCGCCACTGCAGAATCCGCCACCCAACCTCCAGCCACCAACCCGCCAGCCGCTGTTCGCCCAGAGGCTCCCGCTTCTCCTCCGAGGTCCGACTGGGATTCCCTAAAGACACGGGCCTTTGTGGATAAGTGACAAGGCGCTGGCGCCCCGCCAGGTCACTGTGCTCCGTCCCATTGTGCAGCCCGCGGTTCCCTGCGCTCCCGTCCACGCGGGCCAGAAACGCGGGAGAAGCTGCGCGAGCCGCCCCGCCCGGCCCGCACAGCCCCGGCCAGGACGCGCCAGCACTCTGCGTGAGAAATGGCCAGCGCACTTTCCAGAACGCCCTGAGGGAAGGGCCACTGCGACCTGCGCAGGAAGAAAGCTGGAAGGAAAGCAGAGGCTGAAGGAGGGAGAGGAAGGAGGTAAACGCACTTCTCTTTCAAGTACCAAGTGATGCAGAATTCTAACCTTTCAGTTCCTGAGTTCATTTTTAAAAACTGTGGCTTTTAAAATTATGGAAACAATAATGTTTGTGGTACCCAGTTCAACAATAGAAATAAAGAGAAATTTAGTAATCCTCCCCTAAAGTCTACCTTCTACACACTGAAGAAACTTCCTGAAAGTCTTGAGTTTTGCAGACAAAGCATCTTTTTCCTTCTGAGCCACAATTTTCCCCTTTGTTGACCTAGGAGTTGCAGCGAGCGAGGAGGGCCAAGTACCTGAGGGCGATAATAAGAAAACTCAGGCCCAGGGACTGGTCCTCTCCAATGACTACTGATGAGTTTCCTTGCAATCAAAATAACACTTCTGTTTCCAATATCCAGGGAAGTGAGGCACAAATTTTTCTCAGAAATCTGACATTATGTTGTCCGGGTCTAAGTGTCACTGTATGAACCTAAAAACCCCGTATTCATTTAATCAGCTTTAAAAACAGAAGCCGTCTTCTGCAGTGGGAATTCACAATGAAAAGACATTCAATCTGGTATTTCTCCAATGGGTTTTTAAGATTCCTGCTCCAAAGGACTGTGAGACATTATTTCCTTATAAAAAGGCTGTAAATATTATCAACATTTATCTAGGTCCATCAGTCCAAAATACCACTGTGTATTCAGTTTTAAAAGGGAACTTTCAAGAAAACGCAGACCCTGGGTCCCTCACCCCGGACCACTGAGGTGAGGCCTGGGGGGGTGACTGTAACCGGACACAGTGACCTCAGGGACAGAGGTTTCCCATTAGCCTCTGGCCCTGTGTCTCACTGATCTGCACTCACAGCACAAAGGGACCTGTCCGTCCCTAGCCACAAAACTGTCCCTCTCTGCCTCCCTCCTGGAGAACCAGACCGCAGTGCTTCGCAAGGTGAGCTTCCCAGACAAGCAGCCGCAGCGCCACCTAGGGCCTGTCCCAACACAAACTCTCCCGCGCCACCCAGACCGGCTGCATCGCAAGCTCTGGGCACCAGCAGAGACACACTCGAGTCCACCTGGTGGCTCCGAGGCAGTTGGCTGCAGTTTGGGCACCTCCGGATGAGAGAATGTCACAGCTTCAGGAGAGAACGAAGAAAGACGTAACTCGGTGGAAGGTAGAACCGAATTTATTAATGACAGCCTTTATTACAACCACTCTCGAGTGTAAAAAATAAAGGGTGATTAATTGAGATCTCAAACTCACTGGGACTTGCTGTTCAGCCTTTCGCTAGACGCGCCCAAGGGGGGGTCCCGCCTGATCCCGCATCAGCGGGTCGGATGCAGCTCGCTGGACAACGAGGGAACGGACAAGACGGACAAACGTGCCGTGTGGAGGGCAGGACGAGACAGGACGACAACCGTGGGGGGAGGGATGAGGCGAGACAAGCCACGGCCGCAGTGGGCACGGCCCCTCTGCCTGCACGCGGCCCGGACACGCCCTGCCGTGGGACAAGGCCTGAGACCTCTGTCCCCTCGGGGCAGACGGACACACTCATCAGCCGCCAGGATGCCACACGCGGCTGAGACGGAAAAGCTGGCGATGTTTCCACGAGCTACGCTAGCTGCTGCCCAGGTGTGTGCTGGCCAGTGTGTCACCTGTGAGACATGCCTGTGCTTTCCCCAGCGTCCCACAGGCTGCTGTCTGCTCCCCGGGAGAGTGACATCGGTGGACACAGTTGGATTAAAATCTGGGGGGCAAAACTCGTCCTCCCCACCTCAAGGGGGGGCAGAGACGGCAGCACCTGGAAGTGGCTTCCCACCGTGGGTCACGGGACACGTACCCGGGCCAACGCACCCCCTCCCAAAGTATTTGTGCTTTGACGCCATCCTGATGCTAATCAGTCCGCAGTGAAGGACAGAGCGAGCACGGGCCATGCACTGCTTTCTCTTTTAATAAAAGCGAACTAAGACTGGAAGAAGAGGAAGAAGAAAACTCCATGAGAAGCTGTGTGACCGTGTCAACGTTGTTTGCAATCGGGTCCGGTCCCATTCAAGACAAAGAAGGGGGCGGGCGCGGGACAGGCCGCTGTGTCCAGCCCGCGGTGGCACTGTCTGCCACGCACAGCCGGGCCAGGCGGGAGGACACGCCACAGCCCCCCCACTGGCCGTGAACCTAGGAGATAAATGTGACCGCGTAACACGTCTGAACGTGTGCTGGGAAGATGGCAGGAAAGGGAGACGATGGATTCAGGGTCACACGTCATGCAGGTTACGATGACACTGAAAATTAATATTCGAGCTAAGAAAACACTTTAAAATTTAAGAGGAACTGTATCATAGCTTTTGCCTTTGGAAGAAAGGAAAAAAACAAAAACAAAAGAAAACAAGCAAAACAAAACGAGCCAGAGTTTCCAAAAATCCAACAGCTAGTTTGGCGGGGTGGGGATAAGGGAGTGTTGAACTAATGCCTCTCTTCATTAACCTCATTTTCTCCTTGGATTTCAGTGATAAATAAAGCTCAGGCCTACTTAGAAGAAAAGATCAGTCCTGCTAAATGCAGCAGCTCCAAGTCTTCCGACGCCCCGCTCAGCGTGCGGGGAACACACTCCTCTCTCGAGGGGAAGCTCCGACAGACCAAGGGTGCCCACCGAGTCACCTGGTAAATACGACGACAAACTCCAGACCCCAAAGACGAGCTGTTTTCCTCTTCAAACGACAGCTGAAGAGTGTCCTGAAAGGTCCACGGGGGACGCCAACACGCCACCGCCCGCCCGGGCGGCGGGGACAGTCCCCCCAGGTGTGGCGAGGAGCGAGACTGCCTCTTCCGGCCGTTGGCTTACTGCAGCGGAGGACAGGACTGCATTTTCCACAAATTCAAGTACGTCTGAGGCCCCCACCCTCCCTTCCGGTCGTTTTTGGCGAGTGTCCAGCCACCCGTGAGTTCACGGCCACAGTAGAGATTCAACGGCGCAAAGACTTTCAGACGGGTTATTTTTTTAAAAAAAAATTCTGTCAGTGAGCAGCATTTCCCAGTTTTACCCCCCTCAAAAAACCAAGTTCTCGGCAGCTCCGTTAGGTGAGATGGCAGGACGCCGGGTGACAGGTCCCTGCCGCGCAGCTGGGCACGCGGGAGGGTCAGGGAGGCTGGGTGTGTCCAGTGTCTTGCGGCGGCTGCGACAGGGCGCCTACCAGCTGGCCCTGACAGCCTCGATGTCACTAACCAGGTTCTGGGCCAGGCATATCCCAAAAATCTGAGAAAGGAAGTAGAAGTGAGTTAAACAGTGACACTCTTTACCTTCATTAGGGTTTCCCTGGGCACTGTGACCCAATTCATTTTCGTTACCTTTAATTTTTAAACTCTGAGCGACAAGGTGTATATGGCAAAATGCATCCTTTTAATGTATATAATTCAGTGGTTTTTAGGATATTCACAAACTAGGCAACTGTCACCACTATCTAATTACAGAATATTTCATTACCCCAGAAAGAAACCCTAGACCCACTCACGGGTGGTCATTCCCATTCCCCATCCCTACGGTCTTGGAAACTACTATTTTACCTTCTGTTTCTATGGATTTGCCTATTCCAGACATTTCTTTTGATGCCTGAGTAATATTCCATCAGATGGATATTATCAGTTTGTTTATCCACTCCTCAGTTGATGAGCATTTGCATTTTTTGCACTTTTTGGCAATTATGAATGGTGCTGTGATGAACATTTGTGTGCACGGTTTGGAGTGAACATGTTTTTAATTCTTTTGGGTACATTCCTACCCATATGACCCAGCAGAATTCTGGCTCATATGGTGAATCTGTGTTTAACTCTCCGAGAAACTGCCAGATTGTTTTCTAAAGAGGCTGCACCAATTTCACTCCCATCAGCAACGGCTGAGGTCCCACCTTCTCCACATCCTGCTGACACTTGTTGTCGTCTTTTTTACTGTCACCATCCTACGGGGTGTGAAGTGATACCTCACTGTGGTCTTGATTTGCATTGTTTAAATGACTAATGATGTTGGCATCTTTTCATGTGCTTATTAGCCATTTTTATCGTTTTTGGAGAAATGTCTATTCAGATCCTCTGCCCATTTTAAAACTGGGTTTGTCTTTTTAATGTTGAGCTGTAAAAGTTCCTTATATATTCTAGATATCAGATCCTTATCAGACAATGATTTGCAAATATCTCTACCCATTTTGGGGAATGGGTGGAAGTATTTCTTTCTACTTTCTTTATGGTATCAGTTTCAGCACAGAAGTTTTAAATTTTGATGAAGTCCAATTTATCTATGTTTTGCTTGGTTGCTTGTGCTTTCCTTGTGCTTTGGGAATCATGTCTAAGCAAACACTGCCTAATCCAAAGTCATGAAGATTGACATGCATGTTTTCTTCTAGAGTTTTACAGCATTACCTCTTATATTCAGGTCTCTATTTTTAAATTTTTATATATGGTGTGAGGGAGGGGTCTAAATTTATTCTTTTGCGTATACAAATCCAATCTTCCCAGTACCATTTGTTGAAGAGACTGTTCTTTCCTCACTGAATGGTTTTTGTTCCCTTGTCAAAAATCAACTGTATGGGTCCATTTCTGGACTTTGCGTTTTTCCACTAATCTTTATGGCTAACCCTACTTGAGTACATGCTATCTTGATTACTGCAGTTTTATAGTCAAGTTTTTAACTGAAAAGTATGAATTCTCCAAATTTTTTTCTTTTTCAAATTGTTTTGGCTGTTATGGGTCCCTTCCATTTCCATATAAATCAGAGGGTCGGCTTGTCTGTTTTGCTAAAAAGGTAGATGGAATTTTAACAGGGACTGCACTGAACGTGTAGATCAATTTGAGGAGCACTGCCACCTTAATGACATTAAATCTTGCAATCTGTGAACAGGATGTCTTCATATTTATTTGGGTCTTTTCTGCTTTCTCTCAACCGTGTGCAGTTAGGAAACTATCACACCAACGACATAAAGAGTCCGGCTCTTGTGACTGCTGAGAAAGAACGAGTGTCCCCTCCCTTCACTAGCACTTCGGCGAGGTGGTCCAGAGAGAGAAAGGGGCGTAGTATCTCTGTGAAACTGCCCCACACTTTAACCTTACCACTGCCACCTGCTTCTAGCGCTCTCCCCGGTACCCTTTCCCTGCGACATCCAAGAAGGACTCTGGTCTCACCTGCAGCAGCGCGATGCCTATGAAGATGCCAGCCACGATGGTTAAATTGTCCTGCAGCCACTTCTCAAACTGGGGCACACAGCCTTTCGTGTAGATGACAATCTGCTGGTCCACCTCCTTCGCGGGGGAAGAGGAAAGCACAGTGTCACAGAGACAGCACCACGCACACGCCACGGCTCCTCCACACACCCCTGCGCTCAGGGACAAGGCGAGATCCCACTTACTGGTTTTTGCCTGGCATCATAGCCACACTGCGTGTTGATGACATCTTCCTGGTGAAGAAAGAAAGGAGAGAAGTGAAGTCACTCTTGTTAGACAGAAAGCTACCGCGGCACGGGCACAAGACCCCTGTTAGGTGCAATAAAATGGAGCTGGGCACACAAACTGTGGCACCACGGCGAACACTTTATATACACCGCTCCGTGCCATCACTACAATGTTCAGTAGCAGGTGTCCAAGCGTGCCCGGTCTCACACATGCGGAGAACTGAGGCTCGGGGCCTGCCAGAGTAAGTTCATTGTGCAGAAGGCTCCAGATCCAAGGTGCTGCCCACCTCGAGCAGCGTATGGGGTTTAGGGGACTGGGGACACAGATAAAAACCATGGTGAACGGACACAGTGACTGTCTTCACTTATGCTCTTTTGGGGGCACTTTTACTTTTTAATATACACACTTCTGTATTATTAGTCTTATTCAAATGGTTTTTCAATGAGAATGCATGATTTTAACAATTAGATGAAACAACGCTGTCCGAGTCTGGTCTTGCACGGACAGCCTGACGCCTCCCGGGGCCTCACGGGAAGCCGGGTCCGCTGTCCTGGCTTAGTTTATCTTTCCTGTCTGCAGGGTGTGGGGCAGACTTTACTGGGTCAGAGTTCAAGGAGTGAGCCGTCTTCTACCCAGAGTATCTGTGGTTGCGAGGGGAGGCCTAGTGCCTTCTGACAATCCTTAGAATTCTCTGGAAGGGGGGAACTGGCAGCAAGGAGACAGCGCAAGGTGGCCTGGACGACAGGCACCTCAGGCTCTGCACTGCCACTGGCCCCCTCAGAAGAGAGAGAGGAGGGAGCCACGGGAAGGCAGGCTCCCGTCGGGGAACAGGAAGGAGGGACAGAATGGAGGGGTTACAGGGGATGGGGAATGAGGGGAGGCGGGAACGCAGGAAGACAAGAGAGGAGGACGGGAGATGGGGTGAAGGAGGCAAGGAGAGGACGGGGATGGGAGGGAACGGAGGATGGAGGGGGCGAGGGGAGAATGGAAGAGGGGATGGGGGATGGAGATGGGGGATAGAGGGATGGGGAGGAGGAGATGGCAGGAGATGGAGGGGAACAGGGGTGGGAAGGACCAGGGTGGATGGAGGGGGGTGAGTGGGATGGAAGACGGGTAGGATGGGAGAGATAACGGTGGATCGGAGACAGGGTGGAGGACAGGTAAGGATGGCGGGACGGTGGGATGGAGGGGACGGTGCAGCAGGGGTATAGAGGGACCAGGGGTGGGATGGAGGACAGGGGTGGGATGTGGGAGGGACACGTAGATGGAGGACAGGTAAGGATGGAGGACAGGTGGGATGGAGGCACGGGTAAAGGATGGAGGGGACAGGGGTGGAGGAGGGGACAGGGGTGGGAGGAGGGGGACAGGGGTGGGATGGAGGGGACGCGGTGCGGATGGCAGGGACAGGGGGTGGATGGAGGGGAAGGGGTGGGATGGAGGGACAGGTGGATGGAGGACGGGTGGATGGAGGGACAGGTAAGGATGGAGGGGGAGCGGGTGGGGTTGATTCTCAGCTTCCTCCTTTGGACCATGCGAAACAGCCCAGGTGGCCCCGGGGCAGCCGCTCCCACCCCAAGGCCACAGCCCCTGTCAAGAGCCCCACAGGCGCCCGGCTGAACTCAGAGTGCCACGCGGCTCTGTTTACGGGGCGAGGGGTCTGCAGGGGACATTGGGAACCATAGGGCCACAGAACAGAGTCCCTGCAGAGGGACATCGGGGACCGTAGGGCACAGAACAGAGTCCCGGAGTGGCCAGGCTAGGTGCACACGGGGACAGATGTGGGAGCAACCGCCCTTGCTTGTCCTTCCAGCGCTGGAGAGCTGCGCTTTACGCCATTTTACACGCCAGACACAGGACCTGACCCAAAAGGTAATGAAACCTTTGGTAAAAAGGAGCGGCTTATAAATAGGTTTCATATTTTCCTTTACGTGAAATAAAACACAAACCTCAGTCACTACCGTCACTGTGACACCCGAGCGTCTGGGCCGCTGTCTCGCCCGCTCCTACTCCTCCTATTTCCCCTAGCCTACACCGGGAAGAGGAGGGCCACCACCCTGTCCGCTGCGGAGCTCCCGGGAGCCTGCCGCATTAAGAACTAGCAGGTGACGGGGACTGGCTGCCGGGGTCTGGGGCTCGGCTCGGTCACCTGCTGGCAGTTTGAGCTTGGGAAGGTGCCGACACGCGGGTGCCAGGTACCTGCAAGGCAGGAAACCTGCTGGCAGGAACGTCCTGCCCTTAACCGAGCCAACGAGCTAAAGGCACAGACTAGGAACCAGCAGCGCCTGCTGCGACATCAGCTCGGGCGGTCGGCGCTCCTGCCGGGAGACCTGAGCTCTCGGCCCCTGCCCAGCCACAGTCGGGAGCGACCGCTCCGAGAGGTTTCAAGGAGAACAGTGTCCCTGCTGCCCCACGCACTCACCGCGGGGTCTTTAGTGCAGCAGGAGAATGGCACGCCGCATCGCTCTCGGCTTGCGTTGGAATCTGTGCAATTGAAGTAAATATTTAGGTTCCAATCATCAGCTCCAAAAGCCCCACAGCACTGCCACTAGAGCAAACAGGAGAGAATTAGAACGTCCCCGGGCGGAGGCGACACCCGCTCTGCTGTCCGGGAATTGCCGTCCAGCCAGACCGACCCCGACGCCCCGTGCACGCTCCGAGGGGCCGGCCGAAGGCGTGCGCGGGCGCGGCCTGGGGCTCGGCCGGCTGAGCTCGCCCGGCGCCAGGGAGAAGAGGGCTGAGCGGTCCCACGGCCAGGCTCAGCCGGAACAGGATCTGTTTGGCTTGGGAACATTCTAGAAGGATAAACAAGACACTGGCAACAGTGGCAGTGTCTGGAGGAGGCAGCTGGGGATGTGGGCAGGCTCGCCAAAGGCTTACTTTTTTAAAGTTCTGACCTCTACATTTTAGTGGTTTTTTTCAAAAAATCCGATTTATGGAGGTGTAACTGACACACGCAAGTGTCCAATCTGATAAGATCCAGCATTGGTCTACACTGGGAAGCCATCCCCAGGACGTGACCGCCGAAAGTTCTAGGGGCTTCCTTTTCATGGTATTTGTTTCTACTCTGGAATATTTTAAAACAAAACCATGTGCTCACACTTTGAACTTTAAAAAGTCAGTCACCTAAGCTAAAATATAACAAAACGACTGTTAAGTCCGGCGGGCGTACGTGGCCCGGGCCGAGGCCCCCCCCAGCCCCTGCCGTCCTGCGGGGCCGCGACCTCTGCTTCTCCCACTCAGATACGTTCCAGGCCTGGCCGTGTTACGGCTTTCGGGACCAGCAGCCACTCCGAAGCACTGAACCCTAGGACAGAGAAATGAATCACATGGAGCAGCAGCAGCGTGGCCAGGCTCAGCAGGCAGCACTCCGACAGGCGGTGTAGACGCATGCTCCTCCAACGCGGCGGGCTGGCCGGGCTCGGCTGAGCACCGCAGGGTTTGCTACCGAGCTCGGCCACTCTGTCATGCAAACTGGCCGGGGACAACGCGTGGGGAGGGGTGGGCCTGCACCACTGTGACCTCACAGCACAGTGACGTCAGCTGCGGAGATGACACAGGACTGAATGTCACACCCGAGGGACAACTGACGCCCGGACCCTTCTTGCTGCTGCCACTCAACAAACCCACACACGCCAACGCAGTGCTGAGTGCCCAGTGGCGGGGCGGCCACCTTCCGGACAAGTGTCACCGGCCACTGCCTGCCTTTATCGCAGGGGCCCCAGCTCGTTCTGGAAAACTCCAACCCAAGGAAGGCCTGCCCGCCGGTCCTGCCCTACGTATTCGTGCCAGGGAGCACAGGCCAGTCTGCCCGGCCACCCGGCCAGCGCAGGCGCACGAGGACCTGCCTGTTTGCAGAACATGAACACCTTAAACCTAACGTAAAGCCACGCGCACCTCGCTGAGCGTCACAAGCTAGCGTTGCTTCCATTTCACTGTCAGGGAACTAGGTCGCGGTCCTGTGAGCCCAAGGTGCCTTAGCTAACCAGAGTTTGGCACTAGACCTGTGGCTTCTGGCCCCTTGCTGAACCATTTTGCATTCTGAGCGAAGCAGGACATCTGCCGCTGTCTCCACTGCAGAAGCCACTAGACACTCAGGCTCGGGGACCGGGCCGTGGCCGGGACTCCAGCGCACAGATTCTTCCCCGGTTAGAAGCCACTGGGCCGTAGGAGTTTCTACACTTTTGGCTCTAGCTGCATGTGCTGTAACAACGTTCGGACGGGAATATTGTAGGAACTTCGTAGACAAATATTCTATTGATAAGTATATTATAAGCTGTGAAGTAGCACAGATTAACAAAAAAGGGGGCAAAGAATAAGAATCCGTATTTAATAACCAAATAAAACTTCACATGAATGTATACAAATAAAAAGTAAATTAAAATAAAAATTTTCACCTGAAGCAAAACAATGTTCTTTCTTCACATGCTAAAAGATTATAACTGCAATTATAAACTTTTTTTTTTTTTTTGCTCACGAGATTTTTCTTTTTTTTCTTTGTTCCTCTAACTTAATAGAAATTGAATCGAGTAAAAATAGGACATTTCCATTTAGGGTACAAATCCTGCAAGCCATGGAGCAAGTCAGAAAATGATAAACAAGCAAGCAGAAACCCATGTAGAAAAGGCAGGTCGTTTCCAGAAGCCAGGAGGAGCGTTCACTGGGGTCAAGGTTACGAGAAGGGTTTCCACTTGCAAATAAACCACATTTAAACTTACATATTCCTGGGTGAAGTCTATGAGGTTTTGCAAATCAATGTCATCCCTGTACGCTCTGATGTTGTTGTTTATAAAGAAATACAGCTGGTCTTTGATCCAGTCTTTGAAGACAAATGCCAGAACTCCAGCAGTGAGCTCCAGGAAGAAAATAATCCCCAGGAACACGGAAAACTAAGACAAAAGGCACAGACACAGAGAACAGTTAAAAAAGGGCTATTTTGATCACACACAGTCAAATGGCTCTCTAAAAAGGTTCGCAATTATACTGGGTTGTTAACACATCTCCAAAGCACATAATCTTCAGTTTCTTAAGATTCATTAATAGGACATTACACTCCAAGAAAGGACTTGTAAAACTTAAAAATCATTTCATAATCACATTTTAGGGTCTCTGGTGTTCTATTTGATAATTAACCAACAAAGCCCATATGCAAACATGGATAATAGGAATTTCTCATTAGACCCACATTAAGGCCTAATGAATTTCTTGTGATTAATGTACTGCCAGACGCTTGAACGCTGACCCGCCCTACCTCTGGCGAGCTTTCCTATTACATCTCAAAAGACAGCTTATTCCAGTGTTTCAAGATCGCCTGTCACTTGTAACCGTGGCCTTGATGCTGTGCGCAGCATATTCCTTTTGTGGATTCAGACACCCTTTGACTCCCCTTTGCACCTGCTGCATGGGGTACAAATTGCAGATGTGTTCATCTTAGAAGAGGGAACCGAGAGGAAGTGGGGGTGGCTATGACAATGACAATGATTTCCCATCACGCAAACAAAATGAAACCTCCGGGTTGAGGGCTCTCTTGGGAATGCTAGCTGCACCCATTTAAAGTGACATCAAAATTTGGAAGGGAGACTTCTGATTCATTAGAGAAGGAGGGCTCCAGAGCAGGGGGCAGTGTGGGGGCTGCCCATGACGCCGGAGAACTTCCCTTCCACCCAGAGGCCACCAGGAGCCTCATCTTAGTCATACCAACCTCCTGTTCACACCACGGTTCTTTCCACCGCCCGCCACCCCACGCTCTCAGCCTTTGCAAACTTTTCTGCTAAAACAGATTATGAGAAATGGGTTGGGAAGGATGTGGACATTGTGGCAAACTCTTCTGGTGACAATGGCAGACTGGGTGACGCTGGGGCCACGCCTGTGGGGCAGAGGTCCCGAGGCTGCAGAGGGCTGGGGCGGCAGAGGCAGCTTGAGCAGGCTGTGGTTTCTACATGCAGCAGCCGGGAGGGAAATGTGTTGGGTGAGGGGTGCAAAGGAAAGGACACTGTTACCCATTAAAAGAAAAAAGACAAAACACGTTTATTCACTCAGCAAACATCTATGACTGATGCACGAAGGGCGGGGCCCGGAGGCAGGTGGGCTGTGCAGAAGCAAGGCTGGTGGGACCACGTGCAGCCTCTGAAGCCCTCACAGTCCCATGTGGCTGGGGAGGGCAGCGTGGGCAGTGGGCGGGGGCCATATGGCTGGGGAGGGCAGGGCAGTGGGCGGGGCCATGTGGCTGGGGAGGGCAGGGCAGTGGGCGGGGCCATGTGGCTGGGGAATGCAGGGCGGGCAGTGGGCGGGGCCATGTGGCTGGGGAATGCAGGGCGGGCAGTGGGCGGGGCCATGTGGCTGGGGAGGGCAGGGCAGTGGGCGGGGCCATGTGGCTGGGGAATGCAGGGCGGGCAGTGGGCGGAGCCATGTGGCTGGGGAATGCAGGGCGGGCAGTGGGCGGGGCCATGTGGCTGGGGAGGGCAGGGCAGTGGGCGGGGCCATGTGGCTGGGGAATGCAGGGCGGGCAGTGGGCGGGCCTGGGCAAGGATGGGCTGGGAAGAGGGAGGAGGGAGAAAATAAGTCCCTGGCAAAGTCCTGGACCCCCAGCTTTAGGCCCCAACTCTAGACCCTACAGCTCAGCCCCTCGGGTTTCCACAGGGGCCCTGGTTATCTGCCCTTGATATGTTCACTAAAAATAGAATTTAAACAGTTCTTAATTATCACCAGTGGTGTCTATAATTTCAACTTAAAGCTTTCCTTAATCTAGAAAAAGGGACAGAAAAAAAAAATCACATTATTATTTTTTTTTTTAATTAGCCTTGAGTTTCTGGGCTCAAGTGATCCTCCTGCCTCAGCCTCTCAAGTAGTGGGGACTACAGGCATGCGCCACCATGCCCAACTCACTTTTTAATTTTCTGTAGAGATGGGGGTCTCGCTATGTTGCTCAGGTTGGTCTTAAACTGCTGAGCTCAAGCGACCCTCCTGCCTCAGCCTCCCAAAGTGCTGGGATGACAGGCGTGACACTTTTGCTCAATGCCCACCCTGCAGTTTAACACCATGCCCTTTATTAGGTACCACACTAAACGCGTCCGTAAGAGGCACCAGACTATAGAAATGACAAAGCTGTAGCTAGCACACATAAGCGCACACAGCAAACACCAAGACAGAAGTCATGCAAGGATTCTAATTAGGTTTTTGTTCTCACCTCCATAAAGTTCATTTTCCACCTCCCTTGGTAAATGTTCTCATCATGTTACATAATATACATTTCAAACACTGAGTCCAAATTCAATTCACAGAAAATATCTGGCAGAAACCTCAGTGGCCCAGGCCCGGTTGAGCCAATTTCCTCTATTTGCAAAGGTGCAGAGGCGGCTCTCAGGCCCCATCCTCGGGCCTCGAGCGGCAGGAAGCTCCGTGTGTACTCCCCGGCCCGCCGGCTCTTGCAGTCCCTCAGCCATGCTCCCAGCCTGTGGCTTCCGAGCTGTCAGGCTATTTGGAACCATGTTGACATTTACTTAATACTTAATTCATACCTCCTGTTCGGAAATTATTCCAGGCCAATTTTTATTTTTTTTTTTGTACTAAATCGAGAAGCCATTTTAAAAATCCTTTAAGACTTAAAAAATCCCAGGAAGAACAGAATTCTTTTCATTTCCAACGTGGGACTTCATAAATTAAGGTGCCAATCTAGTCAACTGTGTAAATTTCTGCCTTTCTCTCTTTCTCAGCATCTGCTACAAAAATAAACTATATTAAAGGGACTACCATTATAAATGACATTATATTCAGGTAAATCATATTAAAGGTGGTCCCGCATTTTGAGGCACGAAGGCCGGAACGGATAAAACAGGGTGCCAGGTGAGTGTGACCCGGCCTGGCTGGGCTGCAGGCGGCCAGGAGAGGGGCGCTCGGCGCTGGGATGCCGCGTGCCAGGAAGGCTGGCAGAGTGACAGGTCGCCATGGGGACAGAGCTCTCCCGGGGTCTCCACAGGTCTCTCCCCAGGTGAAGGAGGAAGTGTTTGGCTGTGGGTGTGCGTGGAAGGGGAGGGACCGGGCAGGTGGGGCAGACGCAGTCTCGGGACACTAGCTACGGCCACCGCAGGCCCACGTGTGCGAAGCGGAGAGCCACCTGCTCACTAAAGCGCACACAGGACCAAGTGCCCTGGGTTTCCTTGCTAGCATGAGCCACGTGAACTCCCAGGCTAATCAGCCTCCAGACTCTTCTCTGAGCTGGAGCTGCCCAAATTCAAAATGGGCTGCCCCAAGGGAGAAGCGGGGAGTCCCCCCTGGAGGAAAGATGCCGCAGGACGTCGTGGCAGACATGCTGAGGGAGGGAAACCCACGCCTCGTGGCTGCTGGACTAGTCCTAGGTGCATCTCTATCTTAAATAAATACAGCCCTGGATGGTGTGTCGGCAAAGGCTGGCAATGATTCCAGGAACGGGGAATGTCACAGGTACTAAAACTGTCCTCTAGATCCTCACCGCCTTCCCCAGGAAGGTGGGTCCTTTTGGTCCTTTCCCTGCTCTTGGAAGGGGGGTGGACCTTCACATGCGGGCTGTGACGCAGACCCCAGCCCCCCAAGCTTCCCACGGACAGGTGCGCTTGGCTGGCCCTCGGCTGCATTTAAGATGCACGAAAGCATAACCCACTCGGTTCTCCTGTGAAGCAATCTCCAAAGGAAAAGCTTTCGCTTTTCTTTCTCTACTTTTACTTTTCATACTGATACATGGCCTGGTGAAATCCCTCTTCTACAAACATTCAACAGTGACCACACCAAATGCCCTGGCAAAGATCTTTAGATGCTCGTAGGATCTTTAGATGCTCATCATGCAAAGGGGAGCATCGTGCTGGCGGAGTACAAAGGAGATTTACCTTTTACTGCTTCTCCGTATTTGCCAAAACCTGCTGTTGAACAGATTTAATCTGGGAGGGCCACGGTCACTGGGCTTACGCCTGGTTTCTCTAAACCAATTTACGCGCACAGTTCTCTACTTATTATGTGTGTAACAGAAGGTGGGTGGAAATCACTTACAAGAAGAAATATGCATATACCTACCTTAAAGGTATCTTAGGGATTGCAATGCAAATCTGTGACACACAGGCACAAAACCTCCATGAATGGCAGGGGCGGGCCTACTGTATTAAGGGGGCTGGGGGTAGGCTCTAGAAGGTTCTCCTAGAAGAAAACCATGACCTGGCCCTGTTTAGCCAGTGCCTTTGGCAGAGCTCGCCGTCCTGCCTGCAGACACTGCGTCCCCCTAGAGAAGACTAGAGTGTGGCTCTCGGTGTGAGAGTGGAGGGTGGGATACTTACAAACTTGAGGAGGAAAGTGTTTTCCCGGAGCGCTCCGATGCACCCTGCAAATCCCAAAATGAACATCACTCCTCCCACCACAAGGAAGAGCCAAACTGGGTCAAAGCCGCCGAGATCGGTGATGGAAGAAATGTTGGACAGAACTCCCTGGGAGCAGAAAAGAACACAAGGCACCAGGCCATGGCGTCAGTTTCCAACAGTAAGGGTTGTTATTGCACTTGCATTTTCCTCCCTCCCAGAGAGAAACTTCTGAGGCCATCTGATTGTCAGGCATGGTTAATACTTGAGACACCACACACACAGAGGAAAAAGGAAAGAAAGGAAGACAGAAAAGAAACTGCTTTCTTTCCAAGGTCTAACTGTGTTCATATTTGGGGGGAAAATTACATAGAGCAAAAAATGACCCCAAGGAAATGTCATCAGACCTTGTATGGAGGAGACGCAGATGTTACCTTTGTTTTCTACGTCCCCACATGTAAGCAGTCTTGAGTAGAACGCAGGTGTGTAAGAAAAACACACCCTGATACCCAGAGAGGGGTGGGGTGATCTTCACGCCCCAGGACCCGAGGATGTCAGACCACTGCCCACGTCAAAGCTCTGGCCTTTCCCAGGTCACAGGGGCTGAGCTAGAAGCTGAAAACTAACGCAGCAGCCGGCCCTGCCACAAGCACCAGCAAGTTTGCCAAAGACACATTTCCCCTCTGGATTCGCTCTTGAGTTTCGCGGGAGACTGTCGGGCTCAGGTCCTGAAAGCCCACGTTCCGTGGTTCGTGCTGTTCTAACCTGGTTGCCAGGGGTACTTCCTGCCACCTCCTGCTGTGAAGGCTGGGATTTAAAGGCTTTATAAATCAAAGGTTACTCCCTCACTTTAAATTCATTCTCCTCCCCTAAGACGACCACAGGAACTCAGAGGAACTTCAGTTCTCCACAAACAATGGCACTTATTTACTGAAACCCTCTCTCCCTTAAATATGATACCACATCAACTACTGCCCAGAACCTAGCTTAGAAATTATGAGATTACTTTGAAGCTGTGTGTGTGTGTGTGTGTGTGTGTGTGTGTGTGTATGTGTGTGTGTATGTGAGCCTTAAACCCAGTATCACCAATATTTTATTTTCTTGTCTTAGTAAGTTTGTTTTGTACTCTCACAATCAAAAATACCCCCAGAGTATCATGGTATAGTTTGCTATAAAGTCTTTTTTTTTTTTTGAGACAGATTCTCACTCTGTCATCTGGGCTAGAGTGCCGTGGCATCAGCCTCACTCACAGGAACCTCAAACTCCTGGGCTCAAGCAATCCTCCTGCCTCAGCCTCTCGAGTAGCTGAGACTACAGGTGCACGCCACCATGCCCGGCTAATTTTTTCTATATATTTTTAGTTGTCCAATTAATTTCTTTCTATTTATGGTAGAGACAGAGTCTCACTCTTGCTCAGGCTGGTTTTGAACTCCTGACCTTGAGTGATTCTCCCGCCTCGGCCTCCCAGAGAGCTAGGATTACAGGCGTGAGTCAACGCGTCCGGTCTGCTATAAAGTCTTAATAATTAGTTTATTTTCAAAGTACTCTCAACCACCTGAAAGAACAGAGAGTATTCTTCTGATTTTATACTTGAGGAAAATCAGAGCAGTTTGGTGACTGGCTAGAGGTGACCCAACTATGGATTTTTTGCAACCAGAACAGAATGTCTATTTCAGTACCCGCCCCCCAAGTAGGGCCATGTGCCTGCTTCCTAGTACTTCCCAGTGGGCACTGATCAACCGCTGAGTTTAGGTGTTTTGGGTTTTAATCTATTTAAGGCCGTGGGGGCATGTGGAGAAGAGTATTTTGTTAGGTTTTTCTGTTTGCTTCCTTTGGGGGGGGGCTGCAACTGAAGAACAATAATAGGATACTAATGACAGAATACATATGAGAAATTGTTACAGGACTCTTAAAATGTAAAGCTTAAACCTAATAAAATAAAAGGTCAAAGGTTTAAATAAAGTCACAGGCAAAAGGTTGAAAGGTCATGAGAGCAGTCAGGAGGGTGCAGTCACTTCTGAGGTGACGTCACAGAAGGCAACCACACCCTTTCCAAGACCGCATAGACCAGTGCTTTGATCCAGTTTTTTGTTTCTTAGGCGTCCAAACTCTGAACCACGAGTACCCGGTTCTGGGGGCAAAGGTTGAAGGCAACTACGGAAGCACTGAGACCAATTCTCTGCACCTGCACGCACCATGCTGAGGACAAGCTTGCCAGGGAAGCCGCCGAGATCTGGGTGACAGTGGGAAAGCCGGGCGCTGGAAGGAGCCGCCCACGCCCTGGAGAACCCGCCAGCCGCAGGCGTTAGCAGCGGCCGTCCTCATGTTCCCTACCTGCAGAGGGGACGTGGCCAGGGGCAGAGGGGACGTGGCCACACACGGTCCCACTCCTAAACGTTTTAAAGCTAACCATGGGAGAAGAAGCAGACCCAGTTTCCTGGCCACCAGAAAGCAGCAGCAGCAGAGGAGGACCTGGCAGCGAAAGACGCCAGCTCCGTCACAAAGGGGCATTGCTGCCACCACCAGGTCCCCAGGATGGAGCAGAGCCGCTGCCCTGAGGAACAGGGGCTTCCGCCCACAGGGAGGGGACGCTGTGGGCCTTGTCAACAGTGCCCTGGGAAGGCTCCCGACTGGATGGGAAATTGGGGCCTAAGGACCTTCAGTTTCTTTCCAAGGTTAACATGACTCTATGACTTCACCACTTTTAATGGGCTTTTTATTTGCGGCTGGCACACAAGTCCGAGCGAAGATCAGATTGTTCTCGAACACTCTTCCATCATCTGCAGTTGTATGCACGGAGCTTACCAGCTAACAGGGACGATTACCTGGACAGTGCAGCAAACAGACACACCTGTGCCTGAAACATCAAGACAATCCCTCTCCCAGGGACAAAAAGGTAAGATCCCCACTGTCAGGAGCCTGTGAGATCATTTGTACTCTCCGGGTTTAATTTGGAGGATTCTTAGACAAACTCATGCTAATACTTACTCTCCCTCGCCTGCAGAGGTAGTTTTAATTGAGAGGACTTCAACCGTTTCCATGGAAACAACACTCATGTGGGGGCTTAGCTGGACTCCAGATTCCACTCATCTAATCCTAAATTCCAGAAAAGACGAGCTGGACACAGACACCACTGAGATCTATGGGGAATGAATATTCTGCATAGGACGGACTACCAAGAACTTTATTTTTAAATGGATTTGGAATTTCCCCAGGTAGTTTTCAGTTGAAAACTAACTCAAAATTTCTCTCCTCCCATCCCACATCATTTTATTTATTTTATTTAAAAATGTTTATATTTTAAAGATTTTATTTTTTTAAATGGAATGCTTGTACAATTTTCTAAAATTCTAAAATTTTCATAAGCTGAATTGTATGTATTTGGCACGTGCAGCATGATGTTTTGAAGTATATACGCACTGTGGAATGACTAAATCTAGCTAACTGACACACGTTCATTATCGCACACATTTTTGTGCTGAGACCACTTTACATCCACTCTCAGCATTTTTCAAGAACACGACATATTATTAACTATAATCACTAACTCAAATTTTGAAACACAAAGTGTGAAGTCGATGCCCCGTGACCAGTTTTCCCGACTTGGGATTACTTACCTTGACGGACAGGGAAAAAAGAGTTTCTGTTTCATCTGTGCAAAGTTTGCACACGTTCACAGAAGTGCACCGCTGCACTGCTCCTGACTACGCACAGCGCCTGGCAACAGCGATTCTGGATTATGAAAACGACAGGAAACCGACAGCTCAGCCTCCTGCTGCCGTAAAGGTGGGGTCTGTCTCTCACTGGACTTTTTCATTTTGTTAAGCTCGATCTGACACATGAGTGAGAAGCACTAGCATGTGCCTGCCGAAGAGTGATTATAATTAAAGGTTGTGGATGACAAGAAGCTGGAAGAAAACAAAATCTAAGATGACAGTAAAGTCTGCCAAGTGATTGAAGACAGGCACTCGGATTCGAGGTAGATCCTCAGGAATGTGCAGGACCACCACCAGCAGGCTCCTGGCCTTCCGGGACAGCCTCCTCCCCGGTGGGGACTCCGCTCCCCTGCTGCGGAGCGCACCTGGAGCTGTCACGTTCTCACAGGGACCCTGGGTGCCAAGCGAGGGCTGAGAAGTCCGGATTCCCTTCCTGGGCCGCCGAGACCACAGCAGGCATCTCTCTCTGGTGGCCTGGAGCTCGAGAGGCAGGGCACGTGGCAGAAGTCGGTCTGCGGTGAGATGCACGAGGCCAGGTGCCCAGGAAGAAACAAAGCGAAAGAGCAGGGAGGAGGGTCCCGACAGCGGGATGAATTCCCTCGGCTCCTGAGCCTGTCCTGCAGTTCTGCTTCCGCCAGGGTCCCCTGGCTGCTCTCGCTGCTTCTATCTGGGTCTTCATTTGAGTGTCAGGAGCCCCGCACCGCACAGCACCGCACAGCAGCTTTGAGTGCACTGAGCTGCAGTGCTGCGTGGGTGTGTACGTGTAGACAAACACACACACATACACACGTGGCCAAAATTAAGGCTCACCCTTTATGCAGGGAGGAAAAAAATGTCTTGTGGGCATGGGGAGCAGACGGGGGGGAGAGGGACATGCTGGACTCTAACTGGTCCCTTTATCCAGGTGGCTGATACTTCACGTCAACGTAACAATTAAGCCGGTACAAACAGTCTGCATTCCTGTGAACGCACCACCCATTCAGCATCATCAATGAAACCAGCAGTTCCGGATGCAGCTTGTAGGAGCTTTGTCTGTGTTACTGACAAGTAACATGCGAAGCGGTTTAAGCACCAATTCTCCATGTAGACATGGATGTTCAGCCCTTGAGTTCAAATACCAACTTTTTAAAACTCAAACTTACTGAAAAAAAATGAGTGCAAAATGCCACTTGGCTACTCTCTTCTGCGCCCAGAACTGCTGCTTATGCTAGAAGTGCCCACACAGAGCCTGGCGTTTGTCACCTACAGTAAGTGCTTATCCTTCCCCTACCGGATCCAGGCAAAGCCCAGGGGTGACAGGTGTCAGGGGTCCTAGACTTTGCAGAGGATGTCAGAAACTGTCGCCCCATGAAGCTGAATCTAATTGGAATGAGGATAAATGGGTGAGAAGCAGAGCAACTGGCCACATGGCCA